CAACATGTAACCACATCCTGTTGCTTTTGTATCTAAACAGGATTCCGCTATGTCACATAACCTTGATTAAGGGTATTTTTATCTTTGTCTGGACTGGTTTTATTGAAGTGTTTAAAAAAAAAAAAAAAATTGTAAAACCTATATATACTTTGCTCAAAGAATATTTAATTCTTACAAATTTCCGAGGATTTTTGTAGTATGAATAATAAGTGTACAGTATTAATATGAATGAAAATACGAATAATTTAAATGTATTTTTTTTTTTTTTATATTACAAGTATCATCAATAAAACAAAACAATCCACACTGTTTTAACAGTGCATGTATAAATATTTTATATTTGTATTCATAGTTGTGTAATAAATTATAATATTAAGGTAAAAGTATTAGATTCTCATAGCTATACATATTAACTAATACAAATGAGGTAGGCAAGTAATTTAATAGATGACTTTTTATATTAATTAGTCTTGATTAATCACTCGAATTACCGATTCTATTTATTACATTTGAAAGTTGAAAATAGAAAAACCTATTTCATTCAAAAATCATTTTAGACGGAACTCTAATTTTTACAACAGTATGCATATTTAAAAACTTCAGAAAACACTTTTTTGCGACGATAAATAATAATAAATGGTAATTCTTGATTTTTACTATTTTGTTTTTTTCTTCATTGATTTTATAAGTTATTTTTTAACCTTATCGCCATTATATTATACAAATTAATTTTTATAAATTGAAGTAAAAAGTTTGAACTACTATCACAAATAATTAATGAATAAGAGTGGTTCTTTTCAAATATTATCTATATTTAGCATACAATTTTTTAATATATCAATTCACCTAAAATAATATTAGAATCATTTAAAATTTTTTATCACAGTTAAATGTTTATATTAATCACCAAGGCTCAGAACTTTATGCACTAAAAAATACTAAAATATGCGCATAAATATGCGTTAAAAAACATCAAAATATGCGGTATAATATGCAATAAAAAATTGGAAAATAATTGCTTGAAAAATAATAAACTGACTACTAACTAGTGTACTCTGTACATTAAAGTCGCTTGCATGCAGATGTATGCAGTATTATAACGAACAGAATAATATTGTCTATAAGCTGATAACCTAATGGTTAAACATAATTGTTTACGAATTACCTATGGTTATACAATTTGTTTATGTCATGTTACAAAATATAAATACAGTGGTAAATTTGTATAAAAATAAATACGGGCCGGCGGTGGTCTCTATTACGAGTTCTCGGTACTTACTATAGAGATTATAATATTATTGTTAAATGCATTGAGAGCTGGAGCAGTTCAAATAATAGCCGTTGATAAATTAATTTATTTTGTCAAACGATATAAAACATAGAATTTTGGTTGTCATATATTTAATATTTTATTATTAAACTATACATTTTTTTTAAAATTTTTTGTTAAATCCATGAAATATGCATATACATCTTTTTAAACGCAAAATATGCGAATTGATACAAAAAGTAACAAAATATGCAAAATTATGCAACAACAATTTTTATATCTGAAATATAAATACATACTATGAATCGTATTTATATCGAATCAGAATTTCAATATGCACTTTCTAGACAAATATGCAAATGCCTGAAGTTCCGAGACTTATTAATCACACATTTTAATAAAAGTTTATATTAAGTTAGTTATCAGTACCCTAACCAGGATTTTTACGAAAAAAAAAGGTTTTTGAGACATTTCATAAATTAAAAATGTTATCCCAGGATTCCGCATATGATTTGTGCACAACTTATGATTCAGTCCGATTTAAAATAACAATTTATTTTAATTTTTTTATTCAATATAACAATAAACATTTTTTTTCTATTTATAGAAACCGGTATATATTTTAATCGTCTAAGCACATATTGCTTTACCGTTATTTTATTTTTAAAATAGAACGAAATATGCAACTCGCAATAATTTGCATAATATTCATATTTATTCCTCTCATACGAAATTACGTGATTTTTATGTATATGTGTTTACTCTCCACACAATGTGTACAATACGTATACAATACAATACGTATTTATGTTGGTTTTTTATATTATATATTTACAAATTATTAATCATCTTTTACTCCATTATGTTTTTATCATGCATTATAAATGTATATTGTACAGTTTACTTTGATTCTAATTTATAGCATGAAGTTATGTAATATATAATATATTAAAGAACTCTAGTTTAAAAATGGTTATGGAAGAATATTTTACAACCCTAAAATTAAGCGATTTAATTTTTATGTAATCTAAAATATTAAATAACTGAAATATTTTGAATTCAAAAACTGTTTAAAATTATATTATTAATTTTAAAAATTTAACGATAAAATTATAAATGTATTGTACATAAGTGGTGTATTCATGTAGTATTTATAAAATGGTATTGTGAAAATAATAATTATTACATGAAGCATAGCAAATCATTTTTTTAATATTTTAAATAAACTTAAATCAAAGAGCCATAAAAATATACACTGAGTATTGTAGTTTACACATTAAATTAGACGCTGCGTCTATTTAAAAAAAGCAATTATTTTAGTAATAGTCGTTAATATTTAATAGGTTTCAACAATAATAATTTATAGGATATGAATATTAAATTTAATCAATTATTAAAATATAAATACAATGCAGTCATAGAACTAGAGATACTAAAATAATGTAATATAATACATAGTACAATAATAGATCTGTTGGAATATTTCGAATTTCCACAACTCAAAAAAATCCAAGTTCCTTAGAATAGTATTATTAAAATAATAAAATATATAACATAACATGATATAAAATTCGAAATTAATTACAATACTATACTATTAAATGGTTTTTAATAATGAATAAATGTACTATTAAGAAATATTCTGCACTTTATTAAATATCTTGCATTACATATTATGAACATTTTAAAACATATAAATCTCCTCTATGATCTTTTAGATGTGAAAATCTACCTTGATATAACTTTTTTATTTAAAACCTTAAATATAATTATTAATAATGTATACACACATAACCTACAACATAACACATATAACAATTATTATTTCCCAAACACTATTATTATTTTGTATTAATTAAAATGGGATGGATACATTTATACGAAATATAAATAAGTTTCCTATTTCTACGAAAAAATAGAGTTTTTTTTCACATAGATTTTATTATGTGAATGGTGATAATATATAAATTATGTACGTGTGAAATGCGAGTAAAACGAATACGTATTACCGAATAAAAAACATTTAGTGCATGTACGGTGATCAATTAAATTTATAGCAGAAAATGTTGCACGCGATAACGGTATACTATACAAACATCGATATAAGGCTTAATTGTTTTTATATATTACATCCTGGATGATGGGTATTTTTTTAAACAATTTTATTTTATTTTAGAGTAGAGCAATTTCTAAAAAAAAATAATTCACGTTCAACAAATGCACAATCATCGTAAATTCTAATGATATTTATTTTTCACTCATTTATGCTATATTAATTATAAACCTCAATTAATAATTATTAAAACCAATATATCAGATGATATCAATTATTTGCTTTGTAAGAAGCAAACAATTAAAACATTTGTTCATCCAATCCAGAGTCTAAAAACTGTATCGATACTTAAAAATGTGATATTCGAAAAACACTCTTAGTGCACCCGTACACACAGTAATAAAAACATTGCCTGAAAATGTCATAAAGATTGTTATGGTATTTTGAACTATACGTCAATCAGTTAGTGAGTGAATGGGAATTGTGTTTTATATATAAATCGATAATGATTGCAATTTTTGATTTTTGAAGTCGAAGTCGTGAATTGTTTGAGAATTAAAAATCTTCTCATACATATTAAGGACCCGAGTAAAATATTTTCTGTACTCACAGATTTTGGATTTCAGTAAATTATATGGTCAGGTGACCCGAGCGGGATATGAAGGACAATAGGAATTGCGACGATTTTTTTATTCCTTTTTATGTATTCCGAATAGATTAAAAAGTGTCACTAAATTTGACATCGCGTTACATAAGTTTAGCTAAACACCGTAAGCAGTATGTATACTTCGTACGTAGACTTACTGTGCACGGGCAGCGATGAGAGGAAAAAGTTTTTCTTTTTAAAAGTTTCGCAAAAATATACTTGATAATACTATGCGCGTAATGTTTGCGGTTCGCGTCATCACTCCTGGAACGAAACGTACGACGCTCAACGGTATTGTACACACGAGTGTTGTACGTGCAAATATTCAGATGTATCATTTATTGTTTTGCATATAGAACGCATATGGACTTGCATATCGGATTTCTTCGTGAACGGGACATGGAATTAAATTTGGAACCCGTCCAGTACCCAGTTGTCGCGGTAACCTGCACGTTATTCGAACATCGTTTAACATCAACTCGCAATATAACTCATAACGCTTTTCATCGACATCAGCGTGATGATAATAACAATAATACTTATAGCAGTAATACGTTAGCGCGGGAACAGTCCGATTTCGCGTGCATCAAGTATACGACTAATTGAACGGGTCGTTTTTTACCGGATAATACTAATACGCACGCGGTGGAGGTAATATTATAACAAACGTGTGCAGCTTAGGAAATGGTCATCGGTTTTGATAAGTAATAGTTATAATTTACGAATAATGATGATGATAGGAATAATAACGAAAAGAAATACATTGTAAATACCAGTACTACATCAATGTCTGGAGCGCGGTTACATACATACTGAAAAAAAAAAAGAAAAGAAAAACTGCAAACCGGTCTTCTTCATCCAATAATCTACAAATCTACATATATATATACACATGGGTGCGTGTGCAAGACGCATGTGAAAAAAACACAAATAATTTATTCGCAGAAAAAAAGGGAGATACTTTTTTTTGCTTTTAAATGTCAAGTTCAAGGTATTTCGCATGAACCTGCGCCAAAACATTGGTATATATACCTCACCAAGATACTCATTCTGCATCAGTTGTGTCATCCGTTCACATCCAAACATACGACAATTTTCTGATCGGGTCGAACATCCAAAAAAATCACTATGAACACTTTGGTAAGTACTCGTAGCACTAAATTACGTACAACGTACAGCGTACGTCTTTCGAGAGATTCCAACACAGATTTTTAAACTTCTAATATTCTTTATCATCGTTCCTACAAAGACATCGTTTAAATCGCAAACACACTTAAATAAACCTTTACTAATTTTTATTTTTGTAAATAATTTTATAATGTTTAAACAAATTACTCTCAGTATACGACACTTGTATAGTATGATTTTTCTAGATGGGCAAAGCTAATTGTAATTATTTTACTCGTTCCATTCAACGTAAACATATACTCTTTTAGATTTACTATGGTCGTATCGTAAAACGACTTTATCATATTTTAGACAAACTCGTGTATAGTTTTAAAACATATACGTATTTTCTTATAGTGTAATTTATTTTAAGATAACATCTATAAGACTTTGCAAAAAATTAACTTCACTTGGAAACTTCAAACAGATAAATTCACAATAATTTGGAGTTTTTATAATAATATTTGAAAACCTTGAATAACTTAACATTATACTTTTAAATATTTTAAAGTATTATAGTTTCCGAAAAATATATTTCATATACAATTTAACAAATGTTTAAAAAACTTCATAGCAATTTCAACCAAATGTTTGTTGCAAGTTGTATGCACTATGACATAATTGATTTGTTTGCTTATTTAGATCGTGCTAACAGCCGTCATCGCTGCGGTGGCAGCAGCCCCGGAAAAAGAAGTCGCCCCAAAGGCTTTCTCTTTCAACAGTGGTTTGTTCCCGTCTAACCAGGCTTACTACCCGGGACAACCAGGATACCAAGGATACTACCCAGGATATCAAGGATACTACCCAGGATACCAAGGTTACAACAGCGGATTCCGTAGTGGTTACTACCCGGGATACCAAGCTGGTTACCAAGGATACTACCCAGGATACCAGGGATTCCAGGGCTACCCAGGCTATCAAGGATACTACCCAGGTATTATTCTTAGGGTTTACCAATCCGCATTGTATTATTGTTGATTTGGTGACAATTATTACTAACTTTTTACAATGGTTAGGAGTCAACCGTGGTTACTACCCGGGTGCTCCCGCCGTCTCCGTCTTCCCAGCTGCTCCAGCCGCCGTCACCCCGGCTCCGATCATCGCTCCCGCCCCAGCCAAAATTGCCGCTCCGGTTTACAAAGCCGTAGATAACAAATTGCCGGCCATCGTTAGACAATCGCAAGAAGTGAACTTCGACGGAAACTTCAAATACGGGTTAGTACCTAATATTTAAGTACGCATACGTCATATTCGACCAACGATCGGTGCGCGGAGACTTCAGCGCTACAGCGTGCATGGCACTTGGTATAATAACATCATATTGTTCTGTACGCATTTCAGATACGAAACCGAGAACGGAATCGTTGCCCAGGCCGCAGGATACGTCAAGAACGCCGGATCCGAAAACGCCGCCCAAGTGATTGAGGGCTCATACGCCTACATCGGTGACGATGGTGCCCCAGTCGAGGTCAAGTACTACGCTGACGAAACCGGTTACCACGCAGTCGGTAACGTCGTCCCGACTACCCCCCCAGAGATCGCCAAGTCTTTGGAACTGATTGCTTCCCAGCCCCAGAAACCCGAAGACTCCAAAAAGAAGTAGATAACATTGTTTACATTACAGGAGACTTAGGACCACCCATAGCACAACCACTACACACGTATACCATTAGCTTTTAGACACTTTGCGTGCAGTCCGATGCACGCTCCTACTAATGCAAATATTGTGACAGTTGATTTTTCCGTGTTCGCGTACATAATTGTCGAACACGGATTAATTCGCCGAGCAAACTCAGTTATGTTGGATGTAACGAAAAAAAAAATAAATAAATAAAAATGTGAAGTTTAATTTTTTGTGACGTATTTTATTATTCCAATACTATTAATTGATTGGTAGATGAAAACCAACGCCATCAACTGATTGTGTCAAACGATTTTTCTACAGTGAACGAAAAAAAATCAATTTGGTTCTAACGTATTGTTTATCATAAAGAAACGACAACGATCCTTGATGTCAAATCCAACACTCGAAATATTAAGTAAAATTAAGTAAAAATTTACTACACTTATAAAAATCGAGAACATGTGCTCGACGGAACTATAACGTGGCAAAATTATATAAGAATTGGTATTAAAATTATATGTTATGCGGTGTGATCTATATTTTATACTAGATAGTTTTACCCAAAGTCTGATCCAGTGATTTTACACATATTTATAATAGTGAACCAATACATAATAATATGTACATTTCCTTAATATTTAAAATTATTTGGTGTGGTAGTTTCGGCTGTATGCTGATAAGTTAGTGAACGAGGGTTATTTTAATTTTTTATATTTAGAGTAATTCAATTTAGTTTACCTGGTATAGCAAAGAATAATAAAAAAATATAAATAAATCAAGTTAATATAATAATAAATAGCAACAGATATCTAAAATGTGAACAACATATAATATTATACTTGTATATTATTATCTAATAAAATAAACTTATTTATTTAATAATAAGTATGTTAATTTTAATAGTTAATTAAAGATAATTTTAGTTTCTTTATATCCTGATAATCCGACTATTTTCGCATTCCGACCACAACCCTAGTCCCGAAGGTGACGGATTAGAAGGGTTCTACTGTATACTGTCATAGCTTACATTTTGAACATTTCTAAAAAATAACTGGTGGTCTATTTTGAATAATATTTTAAATTATTTAAATGTGTTTATTATTATATTAATTATTAAATATGTTATGATTGTATTATGTAATCAAGGTTCAAATACCTATTAAAATAAACACATTTTCAAGTAAAAAATGTGTCAATATTAGGACATACACAAACACACAACATACATGGATGGACGTATTTGAACTATTGAACACTTAGTATTTTCGCTTTGCTTCGATTCTGAAAATATATAGGTTATAACTATAATATTTTCTATAACGTTATTTTGTTAACGTTTTAATTATTGTAACTATTTCATCGTAATTGTATTAAGTATAATATATTTGAATATTTATAACTATGAATACTTTCAAAAGGAATCAATGCACAACATTTTTAAACATTTATAACATTTCATAATAATTCGCATTATAAGTTTTCAACTACACATATTTTTTTTTTATTAAATGTTTGTACAAAAATGTATTTCACAATTATTAAACTAAATATATTAAAATACAATTTGAGATAGAATTTGAATTCAATAATTTTTTGGGGGATTTTGATTGATTTACGGAAAACACACTTATAAATAAATTGTACATAATAAAAATTTCGTTTTCAAAGTAATACCTTAAAATGTAATATTTTTTTCCCGTCCATATTTTCTCTATACTTATAAAATTGAATTATCTTTGTTACATTTTTTCTGAATACAATGAATAAATCAAATTTAAAATTTAAATCTGTTAAAAATGATCAATTATAAATTTTAACAGTTTGAATTATTAAAAATTAAGTTATTTCATAAACTTTAAAAGTGACAACAATTCTTATTAGGGGAGATCGGGAATAGTTGTAACATGGGGTAAATTGTAACATAATCGTAGGTAAACACTTAGTACATAGTTTTTAAATTAGTTAGCATTAGATTCATAGTTAAAAACTATTTATTTTATTGTAGTTATCACTGATATATTATCATTATTTAAGTAATTTCGATTGAAAATATGCTTTTATCGCTAAAATGTAAATCAATTTTAAGTTTTAATTTTTCGTCTAATTGTATTAAATTTTAAAAATTTATCCAAATGTATATATTTATGTAAATGGTAATTACATGCAGTTTATGATCTAACAACTGGCATTTGTGTGAGTATAATAGTTTTTTTTTTTATATTATCAAATATCAAAGAAAGTTAATTGGGGTAAAATGTAACAAACCAGTTGGGGTAATTGTAACATTGTTTTTTTTTTTTATATTAAGTTAAATAAATTACAATAATTCCTTATAAATTTACGCAAAATTTATGAAGCGTGATAATGTAGCTTCAAGTATAGATTATAGTAATTACAAAATAAATATACACTCAGAGTAAACCATATGTAAAACAATACTTATCATGATTCATATACGTTTTCTCATAAAAAAAAAAATATAAATTATCGGTCATCATTAAAGGTACTTTATATAAAAGTATACGTTAAAAACGTAAAAAATTATAACATTAAACATATACGTAGTTCAATTAATTTTGTACTAAGATTATGAGTTCCAATACTTCTTATAATCAAAAATATCAATCCAAAATATAAATATTAATTTATGTTCTACATTTTATAACAATAACAGTGTATAATTTTTAAAACATATGGTTATTCAAATGACAAAACAAGTTTTGCTATTTATTATTCTCAATATTATTATTTTTTATGTTTTTCTATATATTTGCAATCTATATAATATTATACAGCAAATGCATTTGTACTTGCAGTACTTAGAAATCCCTCCATTAAACATACTCTATCGTCACTATATATAGAAATGATTCAATGTGACTTATAATTTATAATTTTAATAGGTTTTTTCAGAAGTTAGTTGGACAATGAAAGACATGATATTCAAACATATACAACAAGTATTAGGTGTAATTCTTCTATCATTGACCGACAACGGCTTTGGACACATACGTGTGAGTGCGTGATGTGTGGACCTTTAGATTAAATAATTATTTCCTAACAATATTTAGGCAAAACAAAAAATATTGCTAAAAATAAACGGTATAAATTCTTAGAAGAGGCTTTCTTAGTAGTACAGACAAAAAAATTAAAATTTAAAAATTTTTAAACAAAAATCATATGACATTACAGAATTAAACATAACACTTTTTTTTTCAATATTGATATAATAATTGATACATAAAATAAGTTATTCGAAATATTGTAGTAGCAGCAATTATCGTAGGAGTTGTTAGAAACCAACAGGTTCGTCGACGCCGCCTAAGGAGATTTTGGGTAAGGCCTAGCCTTGACCTAGGTAGAAAGAAGTCTAGTACGGATAGATTTAAAAAAATTTTTTGCCTTTTGTTTTTATTTTTGTATTGTTATACCAGTTAAGTCTCACAATAAGTTTCGATCACGATACATATCGATAAAACAAATTTTTTTGTTCGCCACTCCAACTCATTATTAATTAATGATAAATCACTCGTCTAATCAAAACCACTATTACATAAATATGTTTTGATCGTTTGATTTTTGTTCATCTCCAACCAGTATCTATTGTTAATTTGTTAATTTTTATTAGAAAAATATAAAATATATTCGATTAAATTCGTGTTGAGATTGATAATTTCCAATTAATCAGTTGAAAAGAGTTAAAAATGACACCTATTTACTGTCGTGAACAGGTTTAATTGGTGGGAGCTATGCTAAATTTTGTACGAAAAGTCACGCTAGATGATGTCATGCTCAGTGATGGTTTAACCAGGATGATTATCGACTGGGTCTTCTTCTAACGAGGTTCCTTTTCTCCCAAATATTAAAAAAAAAAAAATTCTTATTATCCATCAGAATAAATATTATGAGAAACAAAAAATTGTTATTACACTATAATAATAGTAAAAATCTGTAGTGACTAATGACGAGGAGCTCATACTATGTAAAAATCAAACAACGACTGATGTTTCAAATTTTAACCGAAACCAAATGAATAAGAAAATTAAAATTGTAAATGTTTACCATGTGCCATGAAATTATTATATTAGTATAAATTTCATACAGCTGCGTTCATTAATCAATATTTTGCATACATGGACGCAACTAGAGCCCAAATATTGGGGGTGCTGAAATTGCTGAAAATAAAATTGAATGGTATTTAACTGAAATTACTATAGATTATATAGATTAGAAAAAAAACAAAAGTGTTACATTTGAACTCAGGGGAGCTAAAAACCCCATTGCGCCCCCCTAGTTGCGCCTATGTTTGCATATACATTTTTGATAACTCATGCACACAATTTCATCGTGAAAGATTGTTTTCCATACTAAAAACATTAAAAATTAAATCAAAATCATCAGTTAGTTAAAACCTATGAGAATCTATATTATTAGAATTGAAAGTGACAAAATTCTTGTTTTATAAGAAATATTTCTTTAGCACATTCATCAAACATAATTTAAAAAAATTGCTTCATATTTATTATAAATATTTATAATTAGTATGCATAATTAGGATTTAATATAAAAATACATTTATAATATTTTAATTATTTACCTGGTTACTATCCATGAAGAAAATCTTTATAATAAATAATTTGAAAAAATATATTCAATACATCATGTCTTTCAAATTGTATCTAAAAGGAATCCTTTTTATATTTAGTCAACCAAGTAATATTTGACCAGGCCTTACTGGCCATACTCGTCGAATAAAAAATACAAAACGCATCATTTTCCTATAACAACGATTTGGTTGTCATAGTAAATTCATAAGAAAATCACAATCGAAATCTTAGTAAATGTTGTGTAAGTATTATAATAAAAGCAAAATCGGTTAATATTAATATTTTGAGTTTGGTTTATAGTAAAATTTAACTATGACTATCAAATCGTTAGGGAACTGGTACGTTTTACTCGTTTGTGTCATGTGCAAGATATATCTATGTACCAATGTAACGTCATGACTTAAATTTATTTATTTTACGTGGAATGTATAATTTATTGCAGGTACATATTAATTAATACATATATTAGATTAAAATAAAAATAAATTTAAACTACAATGTTACAGAATTACGACCGAAAAACAACATTAATATACTTTTGCCGTTGTTATTTTTCTATGATAAAATAAAATATAATAATAATATTTTTACTAGACACAAGGGATACAAGTATATAAG